AAAGAACTAAATTCATCTAATTAAATTAGATTTAATTAGATTAGAATTAATTATTAATAGAGTAGGTAATTTTTCTTCTTATTGGAATTTAGACACATATTTATGATTTTTATTTGGGGAAAGTATATGTAATGGGTCACAATTTTCCTTTTGAACGCTACGTTTCAATAAAATTGTTCATATTTCTCTATTTGTCTTGGGCGTAGGTAGGGTCCCCAGTACTTTATATCATAAATATGTGATTGTTGAAATGTACATATTAGGCTATAAATAAAAGTGAATAAAATAGATCCATGTAAAAAGAAATTCCAATGAGAGAAAAGTAACAAGAACAAACTAATTTTAATTTAATAACATTGTTTTAAAATTTAACCATAACAACTACTTTTGTAAGATTTATTTGTGTACAATTATTTGGAAGGTTTCTTTTTAGAAATAAGTTTTGTAAGTTAATGTGATATAATAAATTATTATATTTTTATTATTAGTTTTATTATTAATGTCCAATAAATATAGTTCCGCTTTTGGTAGGTAGAGAGGAGGTAAACGTCAAACCACGTCGGACGGCTTCGAGAATTTCACAGTAATGTTTACCTGCCAGTGTCGTTTCATAGAATAAGTAATTTTAAATTGTTATCGGCGGAACCGGACAATTGCATGTATTTATGGATTATATATAAATAATTATTAAACATGTATTATAATATTCAAATTATAATTTTACAAAATTTCAACAGCTATTCACAATTTATTAAACTATTTACTCGAAATTGTTATTAACATCTATAAAATAATTTTGTACGCCAATGTATCGCGTCCACTTCGGTGAGATCGGCTGCCAACCTGTCAATTTATGTGTAAGTGTACAAACCCACATACTTTGATTACTATACGAGGCAAGAGAGAGGTCCGACCACATACTTTGATTACTATACGGGGCAAGAGAGAGGTCCGACACGCCCAACATAGGGCGCGGCCATTTTGGACCCTATGACACAGTTTATAGCTAAAGAATCAGATTGCTCACTCTACGTCGGCTCTTTTTATCTCAATGTTCCAGTTTATACACTGCGCAACTCAGATAATACAATATATGACAACGTCCTATAATAAAACAGCAGTCTTCTGCGTATCCTGAATTTGTATCCCTGGAGTGGATGTTATTTTGGAACTTTCAATTGGTCCGAGTGAGCTAACTGATTCTTTAGCAATAAACTGTGACTCCAAAAATAATATTCCTGACACTGACAGCAGCAAGCAAAAATCAGGTGCATTTTAACCATCCGCTTCTGCTTCCGGAATTGTCGGTTCAGTCGTTCTAACCTGTCAGATTAAAACAAAAAACCGCCAATTCCGAAGCAGAAGCGGATGATTAAAACGCACCTATTAAAAATATTGCGCCAAGATGTAGGCAACACGTAATAAGGGTTCAAAATGGCGGAGTTTTCTATCTCCTTTTAAAAGGTACTCAGAAAGCTGCGCAGTGCGACCATTCTCCGTATAGTAAAAGAAAATCAAAGTATGAGGGTCCGACACGCCGAACATAGGGCGCGGCCATTTTGAACCCTATGACAGTTTATAGCTAAAGAATCAGATCGCTCACTCTGCGTCGGCACTTTTTATCTCAATGTTCCAGCTTATACACTGCGCAACTCAGATAATACAATATATGACAACCGCCTATAATAAAACAGCAGTCTTCTGCGTATCCTGAATTTGTATCCCTGGAGTGGATGTTATTTTGGAACTTTCAACTGGTCCGAGTGAGCTAACTGATTCTTTAGCAATAAACTGTCACTCCAAAAATAATATTCACTGACACTGACAGCAGCAAGCAAAATATCAGGTGCGTTTTAATCATCCGCTTCTGCTTCGGAATTGTCGGTTTTCTTGTTTTAATATGACAGGTAAAAACGACTAAACCGACAATTCCGCGTTTAATTTACATGCAACAAATTTCCCTTTCAAAGCTGAATTACAGTTCATCTGTCCAGGGAAACCTGAAGAATTTCTAAGTGCAGAAAATTAAAGTCTGCCATTAGACAAGCACTAAATATTAATAAAACCTTCAGAACTTCTAGACATAAAACTAAACTTTGCAACAGAGGTGAAGTACCCAGCGAGTTAACATGGAACTCATATTTAAAAAAGAGAGTCAAAAGAGCTTATGAACAATGCCACCGATCTTGGGGCACATCTAGGGTTTCTCCCCCTAGAGTTGTCGCATGGACTTACACGGCCATCATAAGACCTATGCTAACATACGGTGCAGTTGTCTGGGTACCGAAAACCCAAAAATTGACAGCTATCCGCAAACTAGAACAAATTCAAAGAACAGCATGCCTCAACATAACAGGAGCCATGAAAACCACACCGTCTAGAGTTATGAAAGTAGCTATTCTTAGTCTAACTCCTCTTGATATTTACATAAAGTAGGTTGCTCTGATGACAATGACACAATATTACTAGAAGGACATGCTCATCTATACAGGTAGCAGAAAAGCACTACTTACCCTGAACAGACCACGAATTTACTCAGGGTTAGTACTAGAATGTCACGAAGCTTTGGCCGAAGTATCCATCAACAATGTGGTCACTTAAAAATGGATCAAAGGTCACGCCACATCGAAAGGTCTTGCTGATTCACTGGCCACAAAGGCGGCTAACCAAATACTTTTTGGACCTGGACCTTCTATTGGCCTGAAAAAATCGGCAGTGACAGACCTAATTAAAGAACATTCCCTTGTGAAATTCAACTAAAGATGGGATGAAACAAGAAACTGCAGAGTTGCCAGGGAGCCTTTGAGTTACCCTGACAACACTACAGCAAACAAATACTTGACTATGACTATGGCAGAATCTGCGCCTGGTTACAGGCATTCTGACTGGTCATTGTCAATTACAGAAACTTCTTCACATCACAATTCGCACTCTGCAGGGGGTGCGAACAAGAAGATGACACCATCTACAATTGCCCGACGCTCTCATTTATTAGAAGATTTGTGTTCGGCGAGTATCGGCTAACACCGACCGATATAAGAAAAGCACTTCTTGGTGACGATGTTAACTACATTTAATCTGTAGGGTGGCTCGCGAGCTAGGAGGTCTCTATTACCTTAGGAGGATGCATAATGGGCCTAGTGAGACCTAAATGCCGTGGGGTAACCTTCCCTCCACACGTTACAGATACAGAGATACATCATAGATAATTTATTTTTTAAATATTTGAAATAATTTTTTGTGTTCATTCAAATTAATCAAATTATGTGCCACATATTTTCTCTATAATTTTCCAATTAATAATTAGTCGCACGTTACGAAATACCGTTTTGTGTAAGTCATTTATGTTGCGGGACCTCGCCCTGCTCATCCCGCAAATATTCACTCGTTACATAAAATAAGGCATTTTGTAACTAGTTGCATAATTAGCTATGATTCGGAAACCACCACAAACACAGTCCATATTTTATAATCACATTATCTTTCTACGCTTACGGACTTTCAATGATTTGTTCTCATTTATTAGTGTAGAATCTCAATAATTTCATATTTAATAGGTATGTAAACCTCTAATTTTAACACCTTTGTATTTTGAATCAAACATTTATTGCAGACTTAAAAATGACTATAAAGCCGAAACCGGTCGCAGAATAATATTTATTAAAATATTGATTGTGGTATATAGATTTCGTATTCCATTTATCTCATATTGGAGAGGTTGGATTCCCTTCTTTGATTAGATAAACAAGGCTTACCAGGCACAACCAATAATCAGGTAGGTTGCGGAGACCATTACAATAGCAAACGAACAAGGAAGATCTAAAAATACAAGAAAAGATGATATTAAGAACATATTTAAGCCTAATAAAAATGGATAATAACAAATATAGACATAGAACCAATTATTAAATAACAAGAGAGTTGGAAGGAGGAGATGTGGCTGAAAAAAATACAAACACAGAGAAAAACTAATCTTAGTCTGGGTAGCAGGCCACATAGGACATAAGAAGTTGATTTACTAATCCGAAAAGAGCTTCAAATGCTCTTATTGGCCCAGAATCTTTCTGTAGTATCACAAAGACAGCTATCAAAACTTGCACAAAGCAGGAGATGAGGCCTATTACAGGGCATTGTAGGCTTAACAAACATGTATAACTTCGGTCTGGCAGAGCAGAACTTGTCCCGATACTGCCAGGAAGAGGATTAAACTGCAGTATACGATTTGTACTACTGTGAAAATCTATTAAGATTGGAGAAGAAAACCCAAGGGCAATTACCTACGCCAGAGAACTGCTTTCTAGTCCAAGGGATCTACTACAAAAGATAAAACTGACAAGGTAGTCCAGAAATTTCACATCCTTCATAAAAGGAAAGGTTTCCCTAGACAAAATAGGTTGCCGGAGTTTGATGAAGGATACGACAAAAGTTTTCCGAAGGTTTACAGACATCTGCTCCCTCTTGCACCAGCTAATCGTGTTCAAGGCTTGTTGAAGGATATTGGAGATTTCCTCCTCAGTCTTTATACTTTCTCGTAATTGAGAGAGTCACATCATCTGCATACTATTTGAAGTCTACCCCCGCAACAGTGATATCGTTTAGCTAGTCGTCCATTAGAATGATCCACAGAAAAGGAGAAAATACACCGTACTCCAACTTGTTGATACCTTCTAGTAGTATATGGTACATTACACTGGTTTGTTCGGCATCTTCAAAAATATGTTGAGACTATTAGAGGACTAGTGGACCAGTGAACAGTTTAAAATTTGTATTTGGTATTTAAATGTTTCAGTGGATCTCGGACGGTCTGTAACAAATTTTAAAGAAACTGGGAAAACCCAGTATCTCATTACAAAGAACCTACATAATGGATCTACGTAGGATTTGCTACAAACTTCTACATCATAAATCGTATGTTTCTTTAATAAAATTCTAATTCGCTATAACACATATAATATTACATTCCCAACGTTGCGTATCAGTAGCCACTGTCTATTTTTTATTGTTAATGAACTTAACGACTACAATACCAACCTCAGCTAACACGGGTTATCAGCACATCAGTAGTTATCACAATTATTATTGACCCCACAGTTATATTAAATTTGAGTTCATCTTCTGAAAGTGTCATTGTAAATTTGCTCTGGTATTATTAACTTTATTTAGTTCAGATATTGTATTTTTAAACATGGCAACAGGTAGCGGTAAGATTGGTAAGTAAAATTTTGTCACGTGCTACGTGCTATTTAACCTTAATTTTTAACTGAATTTGATAAGATAAAAAATATTAACTTGAACATATTTATAGAATGTTTGTTCATTTTATAATAGAATATATAATAAAAAAATTGTTGATCGTAGTTTGTAGTTGATAGACGACTGCTGAAAATAATAGAATGATAAATTATTAATTAAATATGAGTTTATACGTTTTAGTCAGAAATGTCTACTAAACCGACTTACTAAAATCTAAATATTATGTTTTAAATAGACAGGCCTTATTTTTAAGTTTTGAAGATTTTAATAGTAATAGCTAAAGCTATTAAACTAGAAAAAAATGGTAATGCTATTAAGACGGATTGAAAAAGTACAAATTGTTGACCATATTTAATAGACGACAGAATGGAGAATTAATTATTAATTAGATGAATTAGTTCTAGATCATTTAGTTAGGAATGTCTACTATACCGAGTTACTAAAATCTATATTTTAAAAGGTTTATTTTTAAATTTAGAAGATTTTAATAGCTTAAAGCTATTAAACTAGAAAAATAGTAATGTTATTAAAAAGAAACGAAAAAAAGTAGAAATAGTTTTAGGTACCTACTGGTACCTACCTACCAACCACCTAAACTACTTAGGTCCTTTTTATCAGATGTTTTCTTTCTTTTTCTGTTCGAATTTTTATATAAAATGTCATTTTTCTTTCTATAATGGACTTTTTCTAATTTTGACATATAAAGTGATTCTTTTGTAATCACATCAAGTATCAAAACGATCTATTTTATGTAACCGGTTATATAAAGTTGAAAATTATGAAACTGGTTGGTTTTAAAATCAAATTAAAAGTTTATATCGAAGGAATAAATGTTGGCTTTATAAAAATAGAGTTTGTTAATTAACGTACAATCTAGTAATAATTCTGTTTCGGTTCCTATTTTCCATTCGAAATCTGCAGAAAATAATCAAAAACACTGATCCACTATCACAATACACGACAAAATAACTTACTTTCTTGAAAACTAAACTATAATAAGAAAACCACTCGCCAACAAATAGTGGTTGAGTTGATAAAAATTATTTATGATTTTCTAAATAATATATGCCAATATCGCTATGTAAGTTATAAGTTATGCAACTAACAATACAAACGTAATATTGGTTGCATAGATATACAATAATTATAATTCTTTAAGTAAACGAATACATTCATACAGTAATTAATCATTCATTTTTTTAAATATTCAAATAAATTATCACACTTTTTAAATATTCTTTTTATAAAATATTTGGTTGGAAACACAAAAAATTAATGGTTTGTCATTTTTACCAAACATAATATTATAATTAGTCAAAATTATACAAATCTTATATGTAACCGTTACGAAATGCCGTTTTGTGTAAACTCGTTCATGTTGCGGAATCTCGCTCTGGTCGTCGCGCAAATATTCGCTCGTTGCATAAAATACTGTATTTCATAACTGGTTGCATAAATAACTATTACACTCAAATTTCTACACTCGTAGTTTTGTATTGATTCTTCTGATATCTTAAATTTTTTATTTGTATTTCAGAATATTCTGTATATCATTGCATAGTTCAAATGTTAATTCATTTTAAGATGGTTTCAACATCGAACTCCTTTAATTAATAACAAAAAACTATAAAATAAATAAGTAAAACACAAATACCTATGGAAAAAAATATGATGTAATTATTAACTATTTTAACTATCGACAATAGAATGTTTCTTTTTGAATAAAAAACTAAAATATAATATATATTATTTTAGAAAACAGAAAAATTGTTTTGAAACTTGTTGATTTAAGTTATCAGTAATTAAGCAAGAATTGTTTTTGTTACAGCATTATTACAAAATACCTTCTTCGTTAGATATTATTTACGAAAATAAACTGAATCGACAAATATGTACAAAGACGCGGATAAAATTACAAATAAAACATTACAATATTCATTTACGTATCTATTAACAACATAATACATAATCCAAATTTTTTGGAAATATTTAAAGTACTAAAAAAAATATACAGGGTATTTCAAAAAAACATTTGCCATTGCTCGAGGAGTGATTCGTTACCCAAAAATACGACAAATAGTCCCTATCAACATGGATCCGCAGGTGTTATGATTCAAAGATACAGGGTGATGTTATGTAATTAAGTAATGTAGTGTGATTTGGTTGTAAAATATACCTAAAAAAACATAATTTCACAGATTTAAACAGGTTTACCATGAGAGCGCATGCGAACGAGCATTTAAACAATTTTTAACAAAAAATATATACGCCACTGATTTGTTAATTTTTTCCATAGTTAGACATTTAACTGTCTAATAAAAAGCACTTTGGCTCCGTTTAGGAGATGTAATTTTATTAAACTTTGTTCAAGCTTAAAATAAATCTGTAAAAATCTAGTAAGCTAGTGTAATCTTTATTGACTTATATTTAGATAGTGTTGTTTTCCAAATTTCCTTCTGAATTTTTTTACTGATATACAGGTTGTTTGTAAATAAGTGCGAAAGATTTTAAAGGGTAGTTGCCGAAGTTATTTCTTATAAATGTAGGTCGAAATATTTTTATTAATTATGTTTTTTGTAAATTATACATCGGCTGAATTAACCGATGTGTATTAATTTATGGTGAAAATGAAAGAAAAACAATACGTATCTATCATGAAAAGTATCCACAACGAACATCTAAAATATTTTCGAACACGTAAAGCTACGTTTTCCTAGCTGCGTCAAACGCGAGCGCAAAACACCTGCAGTTTATGCAGGGCGATTCACGCAATATGCGTTGCGTGGACAGTGTTTTACATTAAAACGTTTTACAGTGCATTGAGTATTAAAAATGGCTAGAATATTAATAATATGATGAGAAAAGAGTTCTAGATTTCATCACGATGGAGTTACGAGAGGAAGAAGTATTTATAATAAGTACCTACTTTATTAAAAAAAAGTAGCCAAAGTTAGTTTTTTAAAACAAGGGAATTGGATGGCTGCTGTAAGTTACTTATTACTAAATATTAGTAGTACAGCCACCAGTTCATCTTCAGCTGCAAAAAATCTTGATTGAGGTTCTTTGCCAGCCATATTCAACTAAAAAACAATGTTCTTCCGCACTGCGTTGTGCACAGAACACTTACTCTTAGAACGGTAACTCCCATGTTAAAAAAGGATGATAGAGTTTTTAGCGGCACCTGGTGGACGTGGTTGATTTTTTTTCAATTAAGTCCTTGTCTGGTAAGAGGCCATATGAAAGAAGAGAAAATAATAAAAAGAAGAAAAGCGCGGGGCTATTCAAATTTGACAGTAAAAATTATCCGCATTAAAAACTGTTAGCCAAATTAAGATTTGTTCACACAAATTGCATTTTTGCTTTATTATAGCGAATATCGCTATAATAAAGCAAAAATGCAGTTTGTGTGAACAAATCTTAATTTGGCTAACAGTTTTTAGATAAAAAAAACAAGAATATTCAAAAAATAAATTTATTAAAGAATATATATAATACAAATCCAATATTTAAAAAATGTAATGTATATGAAAATTGTATTATGTATGAAGTAGCTGGATGGCTGCTACATATTCCAGGATACAACACTGTCCATCATTTTGTGAAGAACTTTAGCTGTGAAAAAAGAAAGACAGTATAAGTACAATCTCATTAAAATAAATGTATTAATAAAAAATTATAAGTCCAAGGAATACTTTATTTTTTAATAAGTCCAACATCTACGAAACAGCTTTGCAACCCCAAACGTCATGAAACACAAATTTCACAGTATATGCAGCGTTTAAGAATCCACATCGGATGCAACCGAGATGTAGTAAATCTTTGATCACGTGATTCAATTTACGTAAATGTAATGGGACAGATGTGTCCGATTTAAAATAAACTATTTGAGGCGCTGTTCTCCACATCTCGGCAAATGGACTAAAATAATAATTTATAATACTCTTAATATTACCTTATTTTAATTATTGTGCCACTATACTGTATTTGCTCAACCAGAATGAGTTGCAATGATTGCAAAAGTTGCAGAATAGAGGTCTGAGGATAATACTGAGCTGTTCGAGATTGGAACCAATCAATTCCATGTTGAATGTGCTTCAGTGGTTGACTGTTAAATTCTATTCCCTGCTTTTTATATTTAAAATTAAATCAGGAATCTCCAGAGTATATTTACAAAATATTTTAAGTTATAATCAGGATGTTCATGAACCTAAACAGGTAACAAGAAAAATGTACACAAAATTCAGTGTTTTTTAAAGGTGTACAGGCTTTTAATAATTTGCCTGAGGATATTAAATGTTCTTCAAATGTGGCAATATTTAAAATAAAACTGCATGAATACCTGTTCACCTATTGACGTTTTTTTTCTCTTTCTTGTTCTTTTATTGTTTTGTATAGTTGACATGTAAGTGTACTGTATCTTATGTATTTTTTATTGCATTTTAAATGTATGTTGATTCTATATTTATGTATTTTTTATATTTTAAACGTGAAGATGTATTGACATGTAAAAAATAGTTTTTTTGACTAAATAAACGTTTTATATATAGGTATGTGGATAAAAAAACGCTCGAGATGTAAAAAATGCATCTGATGTGGATTCTCAAACACAGCAATAAGTATAAAATAAATAAGTACTAACTTTCCTTCTCGAAAAGAAGTCCAACATATATTATTAGTCTGCTTCTTCTTCTACGATACAGCTTTGCAACCCCAAATGTCATGAAACAGAAAATACACAGTATAAGTATAAAATAAATGAGTAATTACTAACTTTCCTTCTCGAAAAGAAGTCCAACATATATTATTAGTCTGCTTCTTCTTCGAACCTTTACTTGAAGTAGAAGGTGTTTGATCAACATATTCAATTTCTGTTATTTGAGGAAAGTCCATCCGCTACTCTTCCAGGAACTGCGGGTAGGAATAGCGTTGGAAATGCTTCAGGTGTTAGACCTCGACGAGAGCCAACTACTTTATACTTCTCTTCAAAATGTTTATGACATACTACAAAGGTGGAATAAATTTGTAGTCTTGTTTTATTATTAAATCTTGGACAACGAACAGCAAGTGCACAAATATCAAATAAATCGGGTGAATTCGTAGGGTGAGGCAGGCGATGCATCTTGTTGTCCACAACAAGGTAATTCGGTACACATTTTCTATAATTACGCATCTTTATGAAAAACCACAAAATAACAGCGGAAAAAGCACAAATTTATAATGGAAAAACAAGCTTATTAACAGTGGTCAACTAAATCAATTAAGCAAATTGGAAATGAAAACAACTGAATACAACAGTCACCAATATAAATAAACAAAGTTTACGTTTGGTTTAAGCCAAGACGCCATGACACCCCCCCAAAATCAATATTCACCTGTCATTTACACTCCCACCACCTACCCCACCACCCGACTGCAGCGCCACGCGGACGTGGTTGATTGATCCTTGACCTGCGCATACCAGTTTCCCACCCCTGGCGTTGTGTGATTGACTGCACAGAACACTTACTCTTAGAACGGTAACTCCCATGTTAGAAAACGGTGATAGAATTTTCAGCGCCACCTGGTGGACGTGGTTGATTTTTTCAATTAAGTCCTTATCAGGTAATAGGCCATATGAAAGAAGAAAAAAAGAATAAAAAAAGAAGAAGAGAAGAAAAGCGCGGGGCCATTCAAATTTGACAGTAATTATCCGCATTAAAAACTGTTAGCCAAATTAAGATTTGTTCACACAAACTGCATTTTTGCTTTATTATAGCGAATATCGAGTCGAGTACTAACTTTCCTTCTCAAAAAGAAGTCCAACATATATTATTAGTCTGTTTCTCCTTCTACGATACAGCTTTGCAATCCCCAACGTCATGAAACAGAAAATACACAGTATATGTATAAAATAAATGAGTCGAGTACTAACTTTCCTTCTCCAAAAGAAGTCGAACATATATTATTAGTCTGTTTCTTCTTCTACGATACAGCTTTGCAACCCCCAACGTCCCAACCCACATGTGTGAGTAATTTGCTAGTCTGTGAGTAATTTTGTGAGCAAAGGGCAATTGTGAGTAATATGTAATTAATCGGAAAGTCAGCGTAGGTATATTCTTGGTAGTTAGGCAAAATTCTGGTCAAATAATTTATTAAAAATCTTAATATAAGCTTAATTTTACTTCTAGCAGTCATTACAATGTTGAAATTTTATACAGGGTGTTCCATCTCAGACGATCCACCCCGTATATTTCTTATCCCCATAGTAATTAAAAAAAATTCCCGAAATTCGTCGGATGATTTTCTTTGGGGGACATCTTTTGACGTATATTTGAGACTTAAATGAGCTACCCCCTTTGAGGGGGCGCTTCAACTCCTCAAAATTGAATAGGGAAGAAAGGGGTTGAGTGATACTTCATTTGTAAGGTCTTAGAAGCCTCTTTACAACGGTGTATAAAAAAAATCACATTCTTAAAAAAAATTAATTATTTTATCATGTTTACAATCAAAAAAATCAAAACTGCGTTTTTAAATCAAATGTTTAAATTATCCTCCATTGACTTCCATACAATAATACAATCTTGACTGAAAACCGTCTCTAACATGGTTCAGCATAATTGGAGTTATTTGACGACACTCATTTACAATTCGTTGGCGTAGTTCATCCAAATTTTTAGGCTGAGTCACAAAAATCTTGGACTTAAGATGTCCCCACAAGAAGAAGTCCAGAGAGTTCAGGTCAGGAGAGCGAGCAGGGTATTGTAAAATCATCCGACGTGTTTCGGGAAATTTTTCCAATTTCTATGGGATAAGAAATATACGGGGTAGCTCGTCTGAGATGGAACACCCTGTAATTGCAGCGTCCTCTATTGCTTGGCCAATATAATAGAGAAAATGCGATTTTGATATTGCAACTTAAAACACTAGATGTTGTGTCGATAGTGTTAGTCTCATTGGGATTGTCCCACTCGTCGATTAATATCTTTTTTTTTTTGTTTATTTTGAAAGTATATTTTTTTATTAGTACATTTTTTTTCAGGTATTATAATTAATAATTTATTATGGTTTTGCCGTTATTAAAGAAGATCCTCTAATTCTTCAATCCTTTTTGTCTGTGTTTTTTGTCAAGCTGATTATAAAGACGTTTTTTATATATCTTACTTGGTTAATAAAATGGTGAATGCACAGAAATTTGTCTTTGGCAACATTGTACAGTAGTAAAATATAATCAAACAAAAGTGCACGAGTACATAATATGCAATTTAGGTATATATATATTAAAAAAGCTATAATATTGATATTTTGAAGTTGTAAGTAATTGTGAGTAATCCGAAAAAATTTTTGAGAGTAAAGTGGTAAAGACCGGTTGGCAACCCTGCTTTGAACAAAACCGAAAAATTATATACGTATCCCTCTGAGGTAAACATAGAAATGGACAAAGCGTTATACGTGTAAAAACAATAGTTACAAATTATTTTTTTATAACGTAAACGTAATCTAATTTATACACTATTAATAACCTTCCTTTTTGCAATTAAAAGATAATGTTAGATATAGAGGATTTTTTTTATTTTAGTAGCTTTGAATGATAATGTAATTAATGTTTTTTTACAAGCATTTATAGGTTTAATTTAAATAATAAGTATGATTTGAAATTGAATGTGTGTATCTTTATTTTTTTTTTTATAAAAACGACAAACAGGCTGGCTGAAATACATCTATGCTAGATATGTGATTTTTTTTTGTAATGTATGAAATTTACAGTGTGTGCACACAGTACTTTTGGAAAATGTATCTATTATCTATATCCTATACACAATTTATATTTACTCAAAAATATTCCATAAAAACTTCTTTCACGTAATAAATACTTCCTCTAATGCTACTAAAATAAATCATATTTATTTTTAGATTTGAAGTATCGTCTGAGAAAAAATTCTCACATTATTTTATTTAAAACTAACACAAAATGATATTTTTTATTATATGAAATAAATAGTTGATCAGAAATCCAAAATAAATTCAATCTTCATCTGCGATCTGCGCAGACTCGAACTGCTAATCCGAGAAAAATACACAAACCAGTCTGACGGTTTTATCCCGATCCAAAATTCGTCAAAATATTTGTTGGAACACAGTACTTACAATCAGGAACAAACCTCTAGTATTCCAAAAATCTGACCAAAAGAAATTGTTGAAATATTCTTTTCATGTGCAATGGATGTTTTGTTGCTTGTGTCAATACAGTTTAAAGCCATAATACCAATGTCGTTCCCAATGATCTCCTGTACAATACATACATTTGTAAACTTCTAAGCAGTTCTTTTGCCGCCTTCAAAATTAACCAATACAAAATTACTATTTTTTATTCCGTTAATGTGCTTTAAGGGCTTCACTTTTTCTATCTCTTGGTCTTCTTCTTTATCTTCTGCAATATTCCAGGTTGAATCATTGAGTCTGCAAGATTTCACATCTTCATCATCTTCACTGGACTCGTCTGATTCTAGTTTCTTCAAGTTTTCATTTTCCTGTAATTTATTTTTACTTTCTCTTTTTTCTTCTCTTTGAATTTTTCTATTTCCTTTCGTTCCTTTTCTAACATCTTCTTTCTGTTGTATTCCTGCCATGGTTCTGAAGTTTTAACTGAAAGAATTTTTCCTTTATCCTCTTTTTTAACACCTATGTTTTATTCCTCAGGCCAAAACAAGGCTCTTTTAAATGGCGATGGTATTATTGGTTTTTCTAAAGTTTTGCTAGCTGTGATATTGATGTTAATGCTAAGAGCAGTTTGTATTTTCTTCTCTAGAACTTCTTTTTGTGGTGCTGAATGAACTACAATGTCATTAAATTGGCAGATGATTCGTAAGTTATGGAGTTATTAGTCATTAATATTTCACTGTCATCTCTTTTTTCTTTCATATTCTTGTTGAGTTGTAGATTTACAAACCAAATATATTTTTTGCCAAAATACAAATAAAGCTTTAACTATATGTCCTGGCCATGTTCTATATTTGTGTTTTTTAAATACATTGAATAAAATGTTCATCCCAGTAACTATCAATCAATTATCAGCTCCGGGTAATCTATTGCAAATGTTATTTTGTAATTGTAAAAAGAACTGTGGAGCTGCTTGTAGATGTCGGAAAAGTGGCTATAGGTACTGTAGTGGAGCAGCTAAAATAGTTGTTTCAATACTCCACCTATTATTTAAATAAATAAAGCCGAAGAAAATATTTAATATGTATAAAAATGTAAATTGCTTAAATAAAAAAGATTTTATAAGTAATTTTCCCTTTTTATTTTGCCTTGCGTCAAATACAGAGCAAGTCAAAACGTGCTAAAAGTACAACAATGATGCCTCCTGCTAAAATATTAGTGATTCTTATAGCAAGTTGGTACACGTAACACAACTTATACAGTATCTTGAAAGTTTCAAATAAGAACGTGTGTTAATCAATAAGTGTCGATTTTTAGACCTCGTCGAACCCCCAAAATCAGTTTATGTCGATTTCTGGGAAACCGATATCGACCCCTTGGGGTCGAAATCGGACCACTTTAAGAGTCCCTGATCTAGGCCACAATTGCCAAATCATATTTTGATATCCGGATTCTACTAGTATAATGTGTATAATTCACTACGAAACACCCTGTATAAATTTATTACGTTATTTGTAAAAAAAAACAATCTATATTTATTTTCTTTTTGTTTCAGCCCTGCTATCGGTATCAAACAAATTAGGCTTAGTCGAGTTAGGTAAAAATCTTCACAGTTTCGGCTTCATTCTTGTTGGAAGCGGAGGTACAGCCGCCATCTTAAGGGATGCAGGCCTTCCCATCAAAGATGTGTCAGAAATATCCGGAGCCCCAGAAATCTTGGGCGGTAGAGTAAAAACTTTACATCCTGTTGTTCATGGAGGCATCTTATCTAGGTAAAGACAATTGTAATATTTACCACCGAAATAAGTACCCTTACAAAAATAGGGTCTTAATTTAACTTTTTGTTTAAATATTTAAATAATGGTATATTAATATAAGAGATAGAAGGTCGGTTAAATGGGAAATTTTTTTATATCTATACAAAAATAAAATAGTTTAGAAAGAACCAACTCTGACAGAAGCTCAGTCCAGAAGTTCTGGAAATTATCCCCCACGCGTTAGACTGCGATAGGAAACATTCGAGGCGGTTTCTCGAGTATTGAGGTGGGTCTCGATATGGCCAGCTCTAGACTTTATATCCCGGGTACGGTAGTAAACAAAGAACAGAGCCGGCTTCAGGTGATCTCACGACATTATAATAATAAAAATTATGTTCCATCTAGACTGTATTTTCACACAGCATGATATTGAATTTATAGATTTATTTGCAATTTATTTTATTTAAAAATGTTTTATTTTATCGCGGCGTTGCCAAATCTATTTATGACCGAAGTCCAAAAAATTCGTTAATTATCTCATTGACTAGGAAGATGAAAATTACTTAGGACGAAAAATATGATCTGATTTTAAAATAATAATGCATTTTCGTATACCATATGCTATTTTAAATGGATGCGGTATAAGTATATATTAGTAAAATATTATTTTTTTCTTTATTAACAATTTTCGAGTATTTCTTAAAAAAATTGGATAACACGTGATACGTCGTTTAAAATGTAATTTAGAGGGAAATAATAAGTAAACTTCCAAGATGTCTGTCCTAAGAAATAACAAAGTTAGAGTAGGTAACTCAAAAACAAAAAAGAATATTCTCTATTAAAAAGTATCTTAAGAATGTAACAAAATCGGAAATTAGATGACTTCTAATAATTTTGAAAACGAATCCGAGATCAATATCATATTCTCTACAACATTCTCCCGCAGTTGGCACTTTCGCAGTAAAATTGTAAACTTTAAATGTATGTGCGATTGAGGTTATAAGTTATGTTTGGTGCGTTTGGTGTTAAAACTTGAAAGTTTGGAAAAATCCGCCAACAGTCGAGCGGGCTATTTTTTTTTAAGACCATTTTTGACCCTCTGAAACACATTTCAAAATACTTTTTTTGTCCTGCAAACGCTTTAAAATATTTTTTATTTTTACCTTAACTTTAAAATGTGTCCTCTAATTTCGATGTTGAAAAAATTTGAACTACACCATTTTGATTAATTTCTTGTTATATAATCTGCTAAATAATAATACTAGACCATCCATAAAGCAATAAACCATTCCAAATTTTTTCATAAAAAGTTTATTTTCTTAATTCATGACCAGGTTAAAGTTCGTCAAAAAGATCTAATTTTCATGAACCCAATGACAATTGACATGTTAGTGTGACATGTGTCTAAAAGAAATACAATCTTGCATAGCATATCAATGGCCATTATTACCTATGACCTTGTGTTATACCAGGCCAACCAATTGACTTCAGTATCAGAAAAATTATATACTCATATCTTCTTCCTCACCCTCATCGGCAGAGTACTCTTCGCCGTCAATATTGATATACAATAAGAAGACGAAGCTACGTCT